CACTTGCTTCATTTGTTCTAAAACGAAAAAGAACTGTAGTTCATCAACATTTTTAAATCTGAGACACGACGACGGACACATTATTTATTCGTATTGGTGTCTAACATGTGAAGAGTTAAGAAACAGAGACTATACAGCGCTTTGCCGCCAGTAGATGGCAGTGTTTTTCTGTTTTTGAAAATGAGCAATCTTAAAACTGCACGCATGGCATTTTCAACAGTGTTATTCATTCATTCATTCTGCCATTCTACATGCAAATGTTAATTTCGTTCCGTAAGTCGCTTCAAAACAAGTTGTATATGTGGTACTTTGCCAGAAACCCTTACAATTACAAATTACAAGCTAGTACAGCTGTAAATTCGTTTAGCTACTTCTGTTTTCAAAAACTGTTGGAGAAGATTAAACAGGAAGATATACCTGGGACATTTATATTGGAGAGTGAAAGAGTATAATGTAACAAGGGTGTCATTGTGATGAGAATAGAAGATGCTTTTTTTTCTTTGTCCGCTTGTCGCCTAGTTGTTAAACTCCCAAAGGACACAAACGGGAGTGAAACTTGACATCTGAAACAACAATCAGCATTGTCATCAGATGAAGACAGGAAGTATTTTGCTGACTTGAGCAGTACAGCAGGCCCATGCTAACCTTTATGATCACATTTCCAAAAATCCTGTCCTTTTGTTCACTTTTAGCCTGTAGGGACTGCATGAAAGTCCCCAGGACTATATTAAATAGCAAGGACTTGACATGAGCATTTGACACGAGACATAAAACTTAGTAAACCAGTAAACTTTTGAAATTTGCCCCTGAGCTGCTCCAGCTTATTGTTGAGTGTATTTGTGTCTGACTGCATATGAGAAGCAAAGAGGTGTGTATAGTAAAGAGTACAGTGTGTGCTGAGTAGGTATGCATACACACACAGGCCTTGTGCCAGCAAGCAGAGCAAAAACAACCTGTCTTTAACCCTATAAAGCCTACTGCATCATATTTGATACATGAATTTCTAAGGCCTCTAAATGATCAACATGATCAACATTGTGCTGAAAAACCTGTTGTTCACAATCTACTACATGACTTCTGTTGTCTGATTGAAAGTTAATATGTTCAGGTCATTTTACACGTTTCTTTTTGCTGTGAAATCTTAATTTAATTTTTATAAAGTAAACATAAGAATAACTTTTATAATATAAGTAATACTTTACTGGATTGAAGCAACTTAGGTTCACTTGATTATCCATACACAATATTAGTTATAAGGATCTCATTGATTTACATTACAAGCTCAGAATTTCATCTTTACTTTTTGGCCATATAAATAAAAACATCTGCATTAAATATCATATTTTTGCTTAGTTCGGGCCTCTGAATAAAACTGAAGTGTTTTTTTTCCTCCTCAAGTGTAAGCTCCATGTTCTCACTATATCATATTTGAGACATTAAAATCTGATGCATCAAATATGATACCAAAAAAAAAACAATAACATTTTTTTTTTTATATACAGTGGGTACGGAAAGTATTCAGACCCCCTTCAATTTTTCACTCTTTGTTATATTGCAGCCATTTGCTAAAATAATTTAAGTTAATTTTTTTTCCTCATTAATGTACACACAGCAACCCATATTGACAGAAAAACACAGAATCGTTGACATTTTTGATATATATATATATATATATTGGCCAAGGTTTTAATAAACCACACTACACTACATTCAAAAAAATTTTTTCTGACTATTATTTCATGTGTCAGGTTTTACAGGGTTAAACCTTAGCCAGGTCTGTGGAAACTCATGTGAAATACTCTACAATCTACTAAAAGCCATGTGTGTTCAGTATTTTAAATGAACACAAATAAGATCTTGCTCATTTTTCTAATATACTACATCTTATATGACTAAACAGTGAAAGGAAAAGAGAAGAGGGTTTTTTTGTAATGTGAACAGCCAGGGCAAATCTATCCGGCTAAACATGCTCAGCATTGCTCACACATGTACATTAATATTTCAGGCATTACAGAGAAATCATTGATCTCAGCAGGAACACTTAAGCTTCCTGTGGAACATTGACTGAGCAAATGTGTGATTATCAAACCCAGTCATACGATTCTGTTAATAAGATGCCATTTCTTTCTTTATTTTTCTTCAGAAACAGACCAAAGTAAGAGCCTTTTTGCTTTTTATTGAGCATAATATTCAAACATAATGAAGTAGGAAACAATAAAGATCATCAGATAACAATTTCTATGAAAAAAATGTAACAAAGCTTTATTAACAAGGCATTTTATTAACATAAGGGCACAGCTCTCCTTATAACACTGAATTCTTGGTTGGTCATTTGTGCTTTACGTTTTTAGCCCTGTGGGAGTGCGATTCTTGCATTGTCACGCACTGGATGAAGGTCAGCAGACTTTTGTTTTGTCTGAAAGTTCAGTTCAAAAGTTACATTTTAAAATGTTGGTATTTGCAGGTTTTATAATGCACCTACATCGAGCTCTTAACACCTTCAGAATGCCTCCAACAATATTTAGAGATGGCAAAGTCATCTGTATTTACAGATCATTAAAAAGGAAATCAAAAAGAACAAGATTATTATCACACAGGAGAATCAGAACTCCAAAAATAACATTTTACACAAACACGCATACAAGTATCCAAAGCTTCTGGGACACATTTGGTACTGAGACTGAAAAATGACGATGAAAAACACAATAAGTAGCAAGCAAACCAACCAAACAGACATTTTAAGCAATCCCACTCAGTGGCTTTACATTGAAATAAACATCCAAAGCAATGGGAGGGTGTCTGTTCAAATGAGACAAATGTTAAATTTCTGTAATATATTTATGAAATGGTTATGACAGCAAAGTGAACACCAGTGGAGGATAAAAGACACATTTAACATGCAACATTTTTCTTGTTTGAAAAACAGTAGAAAGATGTAGAGCTAATCACAGATAAACCCAGTCTTATTTTAATATTATTTATGTTATTACAGTATTTACAAATATTTTGAATTAGCTTTTATTTTTATATTTTCAGTTTTCAATTTAATTTTGTGCTTTTGTCATTTAATTTTTTTAAATATAAAGTTTTAATGTATTTCTATTTAAGGTTTAGTAATTTAGTACTCCAAATTTAAACTTGTTGCCGAGGCAACATTTCTATTTTTTATTTTTTTTTGTAGATTAAAAACAACAACAACATTGGATGAACCAGGATGGACTGAGCAGCAATCAGTAATTCTGATTCAGTTTAAAGTTTGTCGAATGCTCTATTTGGTTGAAAGAAAGAAGAATGGAAAAGAAACAGATGGGAATAATTGTCTGTGCTTATCAAACATCGCAGAGATTTACATAAAAGGCACTGTGTGGTATCCAAATCAGATCTGCTTATTCAGAATAAGCTGTGTTATTTTCAGTAAAACCAGAGAAAACCGAATCAAAGGAAATAAAGCACTTTAAAATGAAAACTCCACCACTGGACCAGTTTCTCAGGAGATTAATCGATCATGAGCAGGACCACACAGACTCTGCTGCCTTTTTCTTCATTTGGTGCTGATTATAGGGGAATTGTTTTCATTTAGACATGGGAAAATGAGGTAAATGACCTGGGAGTACTACTTTTCTGTTGTTAAATAGTTATCAAATTATATAAAAATATTGTTATAAAACATATTAAATAAACAAGAAAGGGCTACAGCATGTCTTGAGCTTTTTGAATGATATGCAATCCAATCTTTTGAAAATCTGCAGATTCAGCGTAGGGCTGAAAAGGGGAAAACTAACCTACGTAATGGATTTACAACTACTGAAAGCACTCATATTTGGTCATAAACACATGACAGATTACTAGAACACAGGCCTGAGAAAAATGCTACAATCTACCTACTGCCATCCACAAACACACAATTATTATGGAACCACGCAGTAAGGAACAAGCCCAATTGGTCCAGAAAGCAATGCTCACCAAAGAAGATCTCCTTCTCACATTCTGTCCTAAATACAACCTCCAACCTTTGGCTCTTCCATATAACCTCTGACCTTAAAATTACATAGATCTGCATTGTTCTAATCTAGGGTCAGCATTGCTCTGAGCTGAGAAGAGCAACTGGTTGTCTCATCATTCAGAGAATCCTAAACAATCCTGTTTACAGAAGTGAGGATTTGGGAAACCACCTTCTCTTTCAGCAAAAAAAGGAACTTACATGTGCACAAAGACACACAAGGCCACAGGAAGAGTATTAACACGGACACAGCAGTGTCATGCAATAAGCCTGACCTATTACAAGATCATCGCAGCGACATGCACAACAGCAGGCAGCAGAGCAGTGCAATCTGGGAATAGTGCATTTAAATCAGTACCACAAATTCATCTTAACTATACATCAAACACAAGGCAGAATTATTCATAGGCTGAGTGACAAACCTGACATTTCGAAACGCGTGTTTCAACCTGACTGAAAACACATGGCTAAATGCTAGTAGAGAAAGCATTTATTAGTCTAGTGCTATACTTTTCTTTGCAACCAACACCACCACACATATTTACACACACACACACACACACACATATTCTAAGCAGCAATTTACAGGGAATATAAGCAGACTGAGATTTAAGATTTGATAAAATTCTGATTACGAGCCAGACTCCCTGACATGTATTTAATATAAGAACAAAAAGTTAAGCTGATCCAATAATAAACAATATTCAGAGTAAATCACGAGTGCATCACCAAGACGTTTTAATGCCTTGAGAAACTATTTGAGTGGTCAGTTCAACGGACAGTGAAAAAAAATAACATTCTGTCATCATTTACTCACCCTCATGTCATTCCAAAACTGTGCGACTTACTTTCTCTGTGAACAAGAAGTTGGAAACACTGGGAACCAAATTAGAGCCCATTGACTTCCATTATATGACATTTCTCAAAATATTTTCTTGTGCTCCACAGAAGAATGAATGTCAATTATTGAACATGAGGGTGAGTGAATGACAGAACTATCCATTTAAGGCTTCTATCATTACAAAGGTCTTTGGAGAAACAGTCCGACTTGCTTTAGATCTGAAATTAAACATGTCAATAAACTACAACAAAATTACCACAAAGATCAATGCTGCTCCCAACGCTCTATTAACATTTGAGATTTCAGATTCAAATCTCGCAAACAAAAGAAATATAAATGCTGCCATCAGTTCCAGCCAATTCATCGTAGAGATGTTTGCATGCTAATTTGCATGAGTCACACCTTCAAAAAGAGAAATTTCAGTCAACTCTTGATGCAAGAGTTGGAGTCCTCCTACTGTGGCATGAAAAAACTTGTCAAAAGACTAGTCAGAATTCCTCTAAAGTTTGATAATTAGCACAAATGCTGTATTGCTTGCGAAAAATATAACAAGCACTGTAGGATACAAAAGTTTTCAATTTTAGATAAGAATAGAATCTGATAGATATGCTACTGTACTATACATGCAAACTGCACAGAAAAGGGCAATATTCTCTGGATCAGCACCAAACAGGTATTTTGAATAGAACATCTGATAAAACTACAGTATAAATGATGGAAAACGCATTTGAGGAGCATCTGGAAGGTGCAGCACAGTGTTACATGATTGGCATTAGTTCCATCCAATCACTGATTCAAAGGGAGTTGCCTCTGCAGTCCAATTGGGCTCTTATTGGCTGAAAGAATAGGTGTTTCTTTCATCTAATCACAACAGGCCCACATGTGCAAACAGGAAAGGCACAAGGAAAAGCGCATTTAACCCCACTGTTCCGTAGACGATATAACGATACGGCAGCTCCACCTCCATGTGCTGCCTGGCCTTCCGAACGTCGTTGCTGGGAATCCCAAAGAGCCAGCAGAAGAGCGGGATGGTGAGAGCCTTCATTACAGCTCTGGTAGCCAAGAGAATGAGGACACCGAGGAGAAAGCGGAGTAGACAGAGTCCGATCAGGCTGAGGGTGAAAGATGGGGGCTGAAGAGGCAACACTGATGCAGGTGGGTCTGGCAAAAGGCCCAGGTGGTAGTTGATGTGGGATGCCAAGGCAATACCCGCCCCAGAGCCCAGGATTTGGGCAGTGTCGCCGCGTGAGGTGCTCCAGGTGTCCAAGGTGAAGGAGAAGAGGCCTAGTCCTACGTGAAGGGAGATGATGATGAGCGGGGCATAGGGATGTGTGCAGTTAAAGGTGTCGATGATGTCCAGAGCATGACTGAAGACCACCAGGATCAGCAAACTGTACAGAAAACCAGCAATAATGTCCTGGAGAGCATAAAAAAATAATAAAATATATATATATATATTAACAGCAAACCACAGGAATAAAAACAAAATGCATGTGAGACCCAAAGACGTCATTAAAAAACAAAAGGTGATTTACATTTGAAAGAGGCTGACATAGAGAACATACATATTTAAATATCACCTTATTTGACATGTAAATCTGTAGAGGAAGTTTGACCTAATAATAAACAAATGTCATTCTGAATACATTGTTACAAACAAGAACAAACAAGAATGGCAGGTGCAAAGGAAAAAGAGGAACAACAGGAGAAATAAATACCGGTTCATGTTTGGAACCAAAATTTGGTCTGATTTTCACATGTGATTTGTCTGTTCAGACCAATGTGTAAAAAAACTGCAGACAAGCTGAATGAAAATGCAAACTCACTCTCTGAAAGTAGGTGTCACTTTTAGAAAAGCAGAGGTAGTAGCAGTGTTGGGGGTAACGCATTACAAGTAACTCAAGTTACGTAATCAGCAGCTCTGGGCATGTGACCAAATGCTCAAATCTTATTGGTCTAGCAGTAAGATAAAAAAAAATTAAGATTAAAAAAAATTCAGTGACATTGATGGCATGTGAATGTTCATGTTGGTCTGAACAGATGCATTAACGACCATTTTTTCAAATTAAAATGTTTATCGCACCCAATTTCCACAGCAAATATCATCATGGTGTGAACAGGCCTTCATACTGAGACTGAAAAAGATTGATAACTCATACAAGCAAATATATGGAATTACAAAAAATGACTTAAATTTGACTTTATTATTAAATTACAGACAGCTGCTGTCTGTATTTCTACCTTCACTAGTCTCCACGCTCTGGTTGCTGTTACCACAGACAACCTTTACAATATAAACTGAGGACTTAGATTTACTATGCACTCATAAAGTAGTAATTGATGAAATATTATTCTTATGTGGTCTGCAATAAATTTTAACAATGCAAAGCATCTTATCTGCCTCTTCTTTTTAAAGGAATAGATCAATTACAAACATCACAAGATTTGGAAAATTTAAAAATGATTTTTTGTACCCTCTTTATCATATTTTTGATCATTCTCATAAATTGGCAAAGATCCAAATTCTTACATTAGAAAAGGGTAAAACTTGTCTCAGAAAATGGCAGAGGGCAAGAGGTCAGATTGGTCAGCTTTGCATGGCAAAAGGACAATTAACTACATTCTTGTCTTAAACAGTTTATGTGTGTGTTCGACAAATAGCAAGACTTGAGGGAGACGTCCAATGTCAGAATACTTCAGCATTGCATGAGAGATTCCACAGACCACAAAACACACACACACACACACACACACACACACACACACAGACACAGACACAGACACAGACACACATCTGTGTGAAACCTATTAGACAATAATATGTTTAGTCAACTGGCATAAAGTCAAAGTCCCTTTATGAAACGGTTGTCATTGTGGACCCCAAGTACATTTGTCTGGATGTTTTCAAGATATGTTCATAAGGACAGAAACATTGTCTTCAAGAGATATGCCTCACCTCATCTATCAGTCATTAACTATTATGGGCTAATTTTCCACATCTGCTGTTAAACATGGGTTTACTGTTTTTGCATGTGCGTGTACTTGTTTTGACCGAATAAGTCAGATAGAGTTATCCTATCTCTCTTCAGTCTGTTCTAGTGATTCTTCAACTGTCAAAGTGTGACAATCAGATCAAACAGTCTCTGTCAATAAACCACATTTGTGTACGCAAACACATCATGAAACTCAGAAAAGGGCTAAAAATGACATTACAATAGAGAGAAATGAATCAAAGCTAGAGATAAAAGCTTGACTAAAAGATTAGTATCACTTTGGATCTTGAAACTGTCAATTTATATGAAAAAAACAGCAGCATATTAAAACATTAGCTTTTTACAGGCAATCAGCAACATAATGAATAATCATTTGAAAAAACCTTTTATTTGGCCATAACATTTCCCCAAAAAAGTGTGTCATCTGATTAGTTTCCCAATCCCTTCTTGTCTCGTGAATATGGGTGTTAAGACACGGTTGCCAAGGGTACAATCTCTAGGGCAACTGCCACTCATCACCCCAAAAGGGCGACCAGATGGATGAGGTCACCCTGAGGGTGACATTACTGCTTAAAGCAGACATGGAACAGAACACCCAGATGAAACACCAAATTTTCAGGACTGAGGAAAGACAGACACCCAGACAGACACCTCGCCAACAGATGAAATCATTTTGCAAAATTACACAGTTTGTTACTGTAACGAGACATCACGGATGGGATTTACCATGTCTGTACTAGTGCATGATACATGCTTATAATGAATGGGGATTTTGGGGCAGCATCAGGCAACATGAGACCCAAACAGATGGATGTAGTTAAACCAGGCCACTCACAGTCTATTTGAGTAGCCTCAGGTCACACAAAACCGCTTATTACTCAAGCCATGCGTGTGACTTTCCTTTAAAAAGGCAAAACGTTTAGTAAAGACATATTAAATTGACCTGCATCCACACACAAATACACACTACTGCTGGCAATTATCCGGCCCAGTAAAGAAACACCAGGGATTTTTTTCTTCCCAGTGTGACTGCCTTAAAATTAATACACACACAACAGATAACATCCACATACAAACATAGATAAACAAAGAATAACATACACACACGCCCCACGAGGAATTTCATAACGTTTCCTGGCCTTTATGAAAGCAGCAGTCTTCTTAAGTCTGATTTTTAAGGTGAAAACGACACCAATAAGCTGACATTTATTTTCATGTTTTGGCTGATAACTGGTAAATGTCAGATGCTAAAATTCTATACTATTTTTTTACATTTATCTGAAAACTAAAATCAGTCGTTTTTAATGCTACAAGTGAATTTAGAAATCACAACATTATAATGTACAGTATGAAAAATGGATGGATATTCATTTCATTTAAAGATGAACATTAAGTGAGCATTAGATAACAGCAGATGTAATCAGGGGCTGTTTACACCTGGTCACTTCATGCGTTTTGTCTGATCAGATAGCTATCCAATCGTGAAAAGACCAGGTGTAAATGCCCTCCGAAACGCATTCGAGACGGATATAAATCCGATCGCTCAAACCACTTCAGGAGGTTGTCTGGGCCACATTCCAGACGAAACTGGACCAGTGCAAATGCATCTGGCTGTTGAAACCACATATGTAAATTTTACTCCTCCCAAAATGTTAAAATAATAAACGTGTGAGAGCGTGTTATAGGCTATATGACATTATAGTCAGATATGACTGCGCTAATGCAACACGCATCGCAGCATCGAATATCTCTTCAGCAAGCCGACACGCAAACTGCCGCGAATGAAACAAAGTAAGACGCAGACCGTCAACACACAATCATCTTCATTAAAAGTAGTAAGACAAACTTATCTTTCCAGTGCTGATGCCGCGTTGATTTCGTTGACGTGAACTCCGTTAAATTTAAATATAGCGCGGGATTTATATCCGTTTTGCGACGACACATTTATGTTGCCAAGTGTAAATGGAAACGTTTGAACAAATCAGATAGATATCTGATCAGCGAAAACGCATGAAATGACCAGGTGTAAACAGGCCCTAAATCTGCAAATAGCAGAAATAACATGTATGATTAAATATATCAGTTTGTGATATCGATATAGTACAAATATTTCATGTATTAGGGCTGTAAAGTGCGACATATATGTTATATATATATATATATATATATATATATATATATATCACCGCATACACCATCCTAACCCTCGCCAAAGAAGAGCTTAACTTTAGGTTATTTACAAAAGAAATCTGTGTTCTTTTCATTTTCTCTCTTCTTCAGCCCTTTCTTTTTCTCACGGTAGTTAGCGGAAAGCGGTGACTGAGAGATTGACAGCTAATATTAACCAATACAAAATCTGCATTAAAGTTAAGAATGTAAGGATAAAATCTGTTAATATATAATTTGTAGTTGTGGTGCTCCTAAATTTTTGGTGAGTGCTCCTACATTTTTGCTGGTGCTCCTAACTTTTTGAAGTTGGGAGCACCAGTGCTACCAAGTAAAAAAGTTAATTTCGAGCCCTGATATATATATATATATATACATATATATGCAAAAAACTGTCTGTGCGATGAATTAATTTACCACACGTGTGCGATACTGTTTTGCAATGTGTGTGTGAGCCAGTTTACAAACCTGTTGTCAAACAAGGAGAACATTTAATGACATGTTTTTAGTCCAAATTCACTTAATAGGGTGTTTTCACGACACGTCATCAATCAGGAACTCGGCCATATTGGAGGCACTGAAAATAAACAATGCCACAGAACCAAACAGAACTCGTTTATGAGCTTGGCGAAAAAACAAAGTAGTTCACTATGTTGGGGTAAGAAACAGAAGGTGTTATGGAGAAAAGTCTTCTCTGTCTTGCAAAATAATGCTCAGGAGGCAGAGTTCCAAAAGTCAAAATTAGACTTATTGCAAGATGACAACAAAGCCGAGATGCCTGAATAACATATGAATCTGTCTCTGTCCAGACTACCATCTTTGTACAATTTCGTTATTAGTCACTGTCCAATGAGCGTACAGACCACTTGTTGATATGTCATTCCCAGTACTTTTCCACAATTGTTTATTAGTTTTCATAATGCTTGCTTTCAATGTAGAAAACCACCTGCTAGTCTGTTTTTCAAAAGATAACTTCTCTTATCTACCACATTCTGGGTGCTGTTGTATTACAAATTTATAAAATGTTATATCTAGGTTCCAATGTAATAGTATATAAACTGAAAAACTAAGGTGAAGTACATTGTATTTAGCATTTAAGGTAAATGACATCAAACAAATGATTATCTTAAGCAAAGTGTAGTAAGAGGTTCCTGTCTGTTCCTGTTCTCTTATTGTTAGTCAAATGAACCAGATTACTGAGACTATCACCTTTTGTTTGTAATGGCTCTTGTCTCAATAAAGAACTCTGCTGAAGATA